TAATAAATGCATTTCTTTCAAATGGAAGTCAGGAAAAAAAACAAAAAGATATTCCCCTTCTACACAGATACATACATACTATGGCTCCATCTACTAAAATTCTGCTGATTTAAAATACAACTACCAAGCCATACTTTTCTATAGCAGATAATTGTTAACCTTTGAGTAGCCGCAGCAGGGAAAAAAACATTTGTAAGTTTGAGAGGAATACTTTGAGACTTTATTGTTAAGCCATGAAGTTTAGAAGTACGATACTGAAAAATGTCTGGGGGATAGAAGAAGGAGGGAAGTAGTTACAATGATAGAAAAAGTTGCAGCAGATTTTAAAATATTGTTAAAATACTTTTTCTACAGAACCATGGATTTGAAAAAGCATTGCACAATTCAGTCCAAAAAAAAAAAAAAAAAATACACTCCAGGTCCAAATATTGAGCTGTTTTGCCCTCAAGCTCCTTAGTTTCAGCATCAGTGAAAAAATTCCTTAAGAGTTTTTAATGCTATTATAAAACTGTACTTTGTACTGTTTTATATTGTCCTAGAAGAATAAGGTTAACATCATCCAACTTTCCACTTCCGATTGAATTCAGATCCCATTGAGCTTTTTTTGTTTCCAGAATTAAGATTTTCAGTTCAGAAAAAACAAGCCTCAATTTGAACTAGGATCTGTCTACTAAAAGTCACAAGTCAGTCAGCATCTTACTGAATTTTCTGAGCTAGAACATAGAGGTTAACTGCACTTCCTTAGGATTACTCAGCAGGGAGGGAGGAAAGACATTTTCACCATAAGCAGTGAAAGGTCAACATAACAACATGAAAAAGTGGCATTAATTTCTTCCATAAGGCAGTCAGATAGGGCACAGGGCCTGCAGCTTGCAAAAATAACTACGTAACACATTTTAACTTTTTCTGTAATTGGAGGCAAAGAAGCATCCTACAGACAAAAGTGTTGCAGGCCTTGCCTGCCTAAAACAGGAAGTGATCTGACTTTTAATAGAAGATTTTCGATTAAGAGGAAAACACAAACAATTTTTCTTTCAGTGCTAATATCATTCAAAGCATCTCATACTGTATTATTAATGGGGCCTGAAAAATTCATTTGACTTCAAAATGTACCAGTGTCTTCCAGAAATATTTTCTGTTTGGAGCAACGTATATGCTTCCATTTTGAACAAAACTCTGCCTGGGCAGATAAACCTCTGCTTCTGAAAGGTTCAGTGTTGTAGTTCTGCCTTCATACCTTTGGGTGAAGGGCTTCTAACGGTGCCTAGAGTTGCAGAGGGAACAAGAAAAAATGTAAGACCAAAGTACTCGAGTATGACTACCTGAATAACAGATGGCTTTCTGTGCGCTATGACAGCGGCAGCATGGTCCTATAAATGGGATATAAACTAATAAAAACTCCTAGAGGGAGTAGAAGAGGATGCATCACCATGACAAGATATTATAAAGTATTCATGATATACCATATGATCATTTTTAAGAAGCTGAACCGTTCATAAAGGCTATTTCTTCCACGTGCAGCAACACATACTTCAATCAGTGATTAAGATCAGGATTGGGCTGATAGTTTTGGGTCTGTTTCAAGCTCTGTCAGACCTTTATTTGCTGCATAATTCAGAATAAACTATTAACTATTAGAAGTTAACAATACTGAAATTTTTCTCTAACCTATGTCATCATATAAACTCCAGCTAGTATACAGCAGCAAATGTAAACAAACGAACGAGACAAAATCCATGGGAACAATCTCTGAACATTCAAATTCAGAAAACAGTAGCATATCATACTGTATTTGTGTTAGTTAAAGCTCAGGGCCCCTCTTTCTCTAAAGATTTTCCCAGTAGAATAAAAATTAATTTACAAACAATACAGTTTCTGGTCTCTCTCTTTCACACTAGAAGATATTTTTCGCCACACTACAACCAACACCTTTAACAAATTTTAGCCCAATGTTTTAGAAGTGCCAGTTATTTGTTTCTCTCTGGTATTTTAGTAAAACCTCTTGTTTTTATGTTCGACACACCAAAACACATGCATTTGTATTCAGCCACACTTACGAGGGATACATTGCCTTCCTCTTATTTTCTTTTTACCTTTATCTTATCTTCTCATATATTTTACTGTTCTTTTGGTGAAACTCCTTGCTACCCATCCCCTTAAAAAAAAAAAAATTTAAGCTCTCTCTCTCTCTCTCTCTATATATACACACACACACACACAACTAGTTTTCTGCTTCCACTACTCCTAGTATGATAGAATTTAGTCTACTCATATTTACTTATCAAACTGTATACATTAAAGTTTGGGCTCTCTAACACCAAGAATTAGAATAAGTAACAAAATTAAGTTAGAGTGAACCTATCTTAGAGAAAGTTTTGTGAACCAAATAATTAATCCATGGATACCATCCACGAGTAATACCTTACTCATTTTACAGTAAGAGTAAAACAAACCTGCTATGAATAAGTCTGAAAAACATAGACGTCGCTTTGACAGCAACATTAGGTGGTACTTCAAGTATTCACATGTACGTAACGCAATACTTCAGGAGATAAAAGTGTTAGTAAGCGATTGGAAGATGCATGGCAAGATGGCGTGTTTATACCAGCAGCTTCAAAGGTAGCTGCTGTAGATGAAGCTATAATTTTCAAAAAAAATCTTCAATCAAAATACTATCCAGTGAAAAAAACGATGCTAACGAATAGATGCTCCAGCAGGAAAGGCTGGGAGGTAGAGGAACCCACACATCACAGGAAATTATTTTCAAATTTTCTGCTAGAATAAGAATTTTTGGAGACCATGTATTTATAAATGAAAAAAACACCCTTTGCAAAAATCAAATATGGCCTCTATTGACCTTTCATATAATAACCAATTATTTCCACCTTTCCATGTTATCAGCCTCCGCAGGAAGGTCCAGGTATGCTAGAATCTGTTTCTCCAAGTAGCCGTCAATGTTCTCCTCTGTCAGAGAAGGTGCACTGAAAATATTCTGGATGGCTGAATTTGAAAATACTGCCTCGTATTTCCCATCAAAAATCAACTGCAACAACGGTCCACTTTCTGTAAAATAAATAAATAAATAGTCAACTTTGAAACAACTTCATCTTAAAAGAGCTATTCAAATCAAAGCATATACATCCCTTTCAAGAAAAGATTTCTAATTCACCTTGCAAAAAGTGCACTCGTATTTAAGACAGAGAACAGCAGCAGCAGGAGTCATCTTATTCAAAAGGAATTTTACAGAGCTGGTATTAACGTTACAGTTAAATACAAACTGCTGTATGAATGTAAAACATAACAAATTGCACAGGAATTTCGAGGGAAATATGTGGCTGGCCTTCCAAACACATACATAAAATTCATGAAGACGACTTCAGTTATCAGAAGAGATTTTTTTTTTCCCTCCTCAAAAACATTTTAAATTAGCGTCTTATAGTAAAATCCTACAGATAGAACAATAATTTCACAGATTACAGAGCCCTTTCAGGGGAACAGGAGAGCTGTGACAAATAAAGACAGCTCAATAGTTGTAAAAGTTCAGTGAATAAATTCCCATGTAACACTGCATAGACTACACAGTCCTTCCTTTAACTGCTGAGAACATTCACAGAGAACGAAAAATATGATTTTACCTTTATAAAAAAATTATTTCCCCAAGATAAATTTATTATCTCAATGAGAAGTCTGCGTATGAAGTCAGATCCTTAGCAGCAACTACTACATTGGATATGAATCCATGTCCTCCACTTGCGTCTTCCAAGACAAATAGAATTCATGAAATGCTATACATTAAATTTCTAAGGAGTTTCCACACAACCAAATATTCTTAACTAGGCTAAATCTTTGTTCACGGAAGGCATCTTCCCTTCTTTTTTTCAAATACGCCACAGTGCAATCAATCAAGCAGCTGTTTGTTAGAACAACTCTGAAGTGTTAAAAACCTTCTACTCTTGAGCAAAATCATTATCAGATTTGACTGCTTTGACAGTCAAAGCTGTTGCTTTAGCTACTAGCTAGTTTTAAACTAGCTGATATGGATGCTGGTGAGGGTGCAGCTTAGGAAATACAGAGGTCTGCATAGCACAGATGCCTTGAGATTAATCTGTGATTTCAGCCAGGTACTGCAGCTCTTCTTGTGCACTCGCTGCTGCCATAGCTACACTAATATTGGCACTCAAGCTAGCCAGCTTCACACTAGCACAGGTGTACATCCACACAAGCTGCAGCTGTGCAAGGAAGCTAACCAAATACCAACTGCAAGCTCTTCCAGCTAAAACAAGTATTCTAGCTCTTAAGCAATCTGAAGACTAAGCACTGAATCAGCTTCAATAGCAGTGGCGGATGACTTTGTAGGAATGGATGATAGAAAGACATTCATCCTCATCTCCCTACACCAGGCTATTAACCACAATTTATATTCTTTATGATAAAGACCAAACAAACGATGTGAGAGATTGTTTGTGCTAAATGAATTTAAAAGACTTTAAGCTGAACCTGGAAGGGCTCATGCAAAAGAAAAGTAACACTTCTGAAGCCCTGCTGACATCACACTCTCAAAGAGCAGAGAGATGAGCAACTTTCTCCCACCTGTGCTTTGAGGAGACTTTCTTTCACCAAATGAAAACTTACTTGTATCAGATTATAGTTGCTCAGACAGGCAGTGTTGTATTTGAGTAGAATAGTTATTGGCTGTGAGGACACTGATGAAGAATACCGATGTTTGTTTTTCCAATAATACCGAGGCATTACTGTTTATAATCCCATAAATTCTGCTCTTGATTGTGTGTTCAGACTTTTGTAAGATATTGTATAAATTAAAGGTCGCAGTTTTCAACTTTAGTTTCAGGATTGTCAAAAACCAGGGCCCACTTAGTGATGACTAACAGTCCTCACAAACCCCATCATTTTCTGTCTCTACCACAAGGTGTTTTTCTTCAATATCAGTCCTGTCCAGAGCTCATAGCAACACATTACTAAAACAAAACATACACAACTCTCAGTGAAAAGATTAAAAAAAAAAAAGTTTGACAGATGACAGTAGAGTTATCTAAGATTTCTGGACAGTACAGTGACTAAAGCCAAATAAGAATTAAAATAAAGAAATAGAGCAAACTAGATTTGTACAATTAATTTCCAAAATTCAGTAAGTGCTGAGGGTAAGGATAAAGGAGTCTTTCAAAAGGCTACAACCACTACGTATTTCAAGATGATGGCACTTGACTTAAACACAACTGTATTTCTAGACTGCCTGAGGTATGGAAATGTTACTTTTACAACCAATGTTACTTTTTTTAAAAGCCGCTGTGCTCCCCTGCAGGAAAGTTGGGTCAGTGACAGCCTAATCAAGGCCGGTCAGGAGACTACTTTACATTGTTCCCTTAACTAATTACGACCAAATAACCAGTGAAAATGCAGAGCAGGTAGTTCAGCTCTTTTTCTGCTCTTATTTGACTACAACAGCGAGTTCCATATCCCTGACAAATTCCAGCAGACCGGTCGTCTCGCTCGTGCCTCAGGAGAAGGTCGAAGACAGCGGCGTGACTGAAGGCAGCCGGAGGAGCCCCGACACTAACAGCAGTGCTCTACGGACGAGC